AATCTAAGGTTTCTTGTATCCAAATGGACAATCTCTTGTCCCAGTATCATTTAAATAATCCTCTTTCTCCATTGGTTTGGAATGCTGCTTTTACCATGTGCAAAATTTTCATATTTAAATGAAATAATTTTTGGACTTTAATTTCTTTTTATCTGCTTTGCTAATAGCACATTATTTCAATTACTGTAACTTTGTAATACTTTTGAAATCTGTTAGACTAAAGTTCTCCACTTCCCCATATTCCTTTTTTTCAAAGTTTTCTTGGTTATTCTCTGCTTTTACTCTTCTAGAAAGACTTTAGAATCAATTTCTCAAATGTATTAAGTTCCCTTTAAATTCTTTTGGTATTAACTAGTATGACAGTTCTGGCTTTAATGCTTTTCTTTTTATTTTGACTGAAGTTTTGAAGTCTCAATTTTCCTTTAGTGTTAGGTTTTAAAGTGTCAATCTGTTCCCTAATCTTAATTATCTTTTTCTGTGTTTCTTGCTTCACTGTTTTTTTTTTTGTTTTTTTTTTTCCTTTTTGTCTTTTCTTACTGACCGGTAACGGGATTGCAACCCTCGGTGTCGCGCCCGTATCAGGGACCGGCAACGGGATCGCAAGCCTCGGGTGTTGCGCCTGCACCACGCTCAGCCAGTGAGCGGGAACCGGTCTCCACATGGGATCCAAACCCTCGGCGGGAGCGCCCCCGCGCTCCCAAGCAGCGCACTCTCCAGTGCGCCACCGGGCCGGCCCTTGCTTGCTTCACTGTTTTTTGAAAGTTTTTTTATTTTTGCCTATAACATAGTGTAGCAGAGATGATCTCATCGTAAACACTCAGCAGCATTAAAGTCATTTTTAAAAACTAGCATAAGAGAGCCAGGCCTTTTCAGGGCTGTGTTCTTTCTTACATGGATCTGTGGTATGTTCCTCTTCCGCCTGGGACTGAGTTTGTGGAACATGTCTAACAGTTACATAGCTGCTGTTCCCCGCAGAATCACAGATTAGTTTTCTCCACTTAAGTGGATTCTTAAACAGGTAAATAACCATATTTGAGTAGTTTTGATAATATCCTAAATCTTTAGCAATTGATAAGGTATGCATTTTATATGAAAAAAATTCATTTGCAATTACAGGATAGAGAAACTTTATTTGATAATATCTATCAGTTGTTCAGTCATGTTTTCAAAACAAAATAAAGGACCTGGTGTTTAAATTTATTTCAAGCTCACTACGAGTTACAGTCCTGGTTGAAAATAACAAAGGATGTAATTTAGACTGTATTACAGGAAGTTTGACATCTGGATTAGGAAAGGTAATAACTCCCATCTGTGCTAATCAAACAGTTTTTATAATTTTTTGCATTTATTTTGTGCCAGAGACTAAACAAGATGCTAAGATACAAAGCAGAGAGACATAGCCCACTTAAAGTAGAATTAAATAATAAGAGGTTTATGAGAAGCCAGAAGAGGGATATCTAGGGCCTAGAGCACAGAGGCTGGGGAGAGCTTTTAAGGAGAAGGTGACAGAGGCTTTGGAAAGCTATTTGAGGTAGGATATCCAGTAAGAGCAGTGGTGCTCAGCCCTGGCTGCACACTGGAACCATCTGAAGAACATTTAACAGTCTGATGCCCAGTTTCACCCAGATCAGCTTATATCAGCAGCTCTGGGGTTAGAACCTAGGCGTTGGTATTGTTTATTGCTTCCCGGGTGATTCCATGGCACAGCCAGGATTGTGAACCACTGAGTTAGAGGGTAACTATATTCAAAGCAGATAAGATAAAGTTCCAAATTAAACAAGTGCCAGTGGCATAAAGGAACCAGAGTAAGGAAATAAGAAGTAGGAAATGGTGGTTGATTGAATGAGTGGGCAGTTGAATAAAGATTATTTCTAGATTGGGTCACAAGGTGGATGCTGATCATATACAAAGATCAGTTATAGATCAAGGGTGAGAACATGAAGGGGAAACACGTTTGGTACTAGGCCTTGCTGAGTGGGTAGGAGAAAGATAAAGAATTTGATTTTAAAATGTGGAATTTGAGGAAGAATGATCTGTAATGTCAAGTGGGCAGAGAAACTGAAAGGAAGGAACCAATGTAATAGTTGAAAACTCAGGACACAGAGTAGATAATTAATGGGTCAGATCCCTGAGGAGACAGAAAGTGCAGAGCAGAGATGAAAGAAGTAATTTATATGAGAATGAGGAATATTTCCATTTGGAGAGAAATAAGTAGAAATATGTGAGGATGCAGATAAATTCACAGGTCAAGGAGGATGAGATGTAATTTTGCCTGATGGCCTGATTTCCTTACTGCAGGAGATGTGGGTATCTACTGAGAATTAGGAGGTTAGGGAATGGGATTAAAGAGTGTGGTCAAGCTTTGGAAGAGTAAGGATGGGGCCATCTGAAGAAAATAACTTAGAAAGAGATGTCTTTCTAGTTCTCATAAATGTTGGTTTTCTCCAACGTTTCAATATTGCCTCTCTTTCATATACTTCCTGGGTGATCTCCTTTGTTATATTTGATTGCACTGTTGTCTTCTATGAGAAACATTGATAAGATGAAGTTTGTCCAGATGAGTTAAGTAGTTGATATTTTAGTTCAGAAAGTAATTGGTTGGCTTTTCATTTTGGGGGGAGTTTTCTTGGTAGATACATTAATTTGAAATTTAAAATGTTGAAATCACTTAAACTCTGTACACATCCTACTATTTCCAATATCAATAACTAGTTAGCATCGTGTTTTTTACCTAATATTATAAAACCCCCAAATACTACCAATTTGACGTTTTGAAAATATATTAATTCTTAGTATGTTATACTATAAAGAAATTCAAGTACTTATTTTACTTTTTGTGTTATGTTTATACTTTTTCTATGATGTCTGTTAAAGATCAAACTTTATCTCAACTCTGATGTGAACTATGATTTGCCTTATGTATTCTCTAAATATTTTTTTCTTCTAAAAGACCAACTAAAAGTCCAGTAGTTCATTATCAAATAGACTGGAACTATTTATTTTACAGATTCCCTGTAAAATATAGATAAGATTATTCAGCAGAAATAATTGTATTCACTACAACAAAGCAATCATTAGTATGGCTTTTCAGTAAGGCGTCTTGTTTATATTATGCTTCTTAAGATAACTATAAATTACTTTTGTATAATCAGTTAGGACTGTGGGTGTATATAAATAGAAGATGGCCTTGATACTACAGAAACTAACTTAATGTTTTGGTATCATTTCAGGTAACGTTTCATTTGTAGCATTTCCAGTTTCCAGCACCAACTCACCAACAAAGATTTTACCAAAAACCTTAGGACCAGTAAATGTGAATGTTGGACCCCAAATGGTAAGAAAATCATCAGATTTTAGAATTGAAACTTTGTTTAGACAAGACTAATTTAAAGGATAATTATAGTAAAGATATTTAGTCAAATATTACAGTTAATTTCAGTTCATCTCAGTCACCTTTATAAAAATTTTATTTATTTTTTTATCTGAATGTAACTAAGTCTTGAAGAAAAGAAAGGTATTGTTCTCTTCAATGTTTAATTTTCGGGTATTTGAATCTATGGATTCTGGATGTCCAATATTAAGGGTTTTGTTTCCTATGTGAGGCTTCTCTTGTTTTTAATTGTTTAAATTGATTTGAAATCTGTTATATTTTATATCTTTCTCCTTTTTTCTTTTTCTTGTATAGAATAATCCTATTATTCTAAACTCTGTATTCTCATATAAATTAAATGTATAACCCAACAGTAAATCTATTTCTGGAGCTATTGATTTGAAACTCTTTCCTCTGAAGGACATTTGGGGAAAAAACCATATGCCAATTCATTTTCATCTTTAGCGGTGGAAATAGTGGACAAAAAATGGGAAATATTTAACTGTTTCTTTAAATGCATTTATTAATTATGCTAGAGCTTGATATGTAGTACTTTCAGAATGCCTTATTTATAAACAAAGTTGCATTCAATTTTGGTACTTTAAAACTATACCTAATTATAAAAAAAAGGAAAGAAAGAAAAAAGGCTAGCTTGTTAGCTCAGTTGGTTAAGAAAGAAAGAAAAAAGGTTAGCTTGTTAGCTCAGTTGGTTAGAGTGCAGCCTTATAACAGCAAGGTCCTGGGTTCAGATCCCCATAACAGCCAGCCGCTAAAATAAATTAATAAAACTATGCCTAATTTAGGAAAGAAAGAAAAAAGGCTAGCTTGTTAGCTCAGTTGGTTAGAGTGCAGCCTTATAACAGCAAGGTCATGGGTTCAGATCCCCATAACAGCCAGCCGCTAAAATAAATTAATAAAACTATGCCTAATTTAAATGACCTCACCCACCATAAGCAAAAGTGCTTAAACAATAACTTCATTGTCAGTGTTTGTATCTTCTCATCCATAGAGCAATTAAGATAAATTTTGCCCATAACGTACAGCACAGCAGACTATGTTAATACAAAGTTATTTAGACAAAAATATCTTTAAACATACATAATAGTTTCAGAAAGTCTTTAAGACTTTAAGACACGACATTTTCCTTAGTCAGTGGAGGACTTTTAATCATCTGCAGAATTCAAGCTAAAGATGCAACACAATTTACTGTAAGTATGTGAGGAATGTAATCTAGCTCCACATCTCATACTGACATAAGTTCACATAAATGACCCCATTTCAAGGTAGCTCAGGGTATATTTTCAAACATATGCTAAGTATTAGCCCCTCCCTAGCCACTATAATAGGTGCACATGTGATAAGGTACCTGCCTTTAAAGTCTGTATTTTGAAATGTGATTATATAAACACTAAAATTAAACATACTCAAACTATTACGAGTCTGACCCTTACAGTACTCCTCTATTTTGAGACACTATTTTCTATTGGTATTTTAGTTGATGCTGCGATGGCTCAAACTTGAACTTCTCTTTTAGAAACATATCATTTTTCTTCCCGTTGTGAGTTTGAAATAATGTGCATGTAAGCCCTTACACAGTTCAGTTCTGAGAAAAAGTAGTCATACTTTTTAGTTAGTATACTACTAACCCAGTTACTGTAAACCTTAGGATCAGCCAAAAAAAAAAGGGGAGAGTGTGGTGCTGATAACACCAAGTCAAGGGTTAAGATCCTCTTACTGGTCATCTTTCAAAAAAATTTAAAAAAAAAAAGAAAGAAACGAACTAAACATGGAATTTATCATCCAAAGGAAAGCAGAACTTAAGGAGAGTGTGGTGCTGATAACACCAAGTCAAGGGTTAAGATCCTCTTACTGGTCATCTTTCAAAAAAATTTTAAAAAAAAAAGAAAGAAACGAACTAAACATGGAATTTATCATCCAAAGGAAAGCAGAACTTAAAGATTTGGAGTCTGTGGTGTAGAAGGGTGTTGTGACCACTGGCAAAAAAGAAAAAAAAATCACTATAGAGTGTACTATCCCATTTCCTGGGCCAGCAAAGTAAACTCTAAGCCAAGGAAAGTAAAAAAATATAAGGAATTATATAATGATAAATGGATCAGTTCAACAAGAGGATATAACAATTCAAGTATGTATGCACCTAACACTGGAGCACCTAGATATATAAAGCAAATATTACTAGACCTAATGGATGAAACACAATAATGGTTGAGGACTTTCATACCCCACTGTCAGCAGATGACAGATCATCCAGACAGAAAATTTACCGAGAAACATCATAGTTAATCTCAACTCTAGACCGTTTATACCTAATGGACATTTATAGAACATTTCATCCAATAGCTGCAGAATACACATTCTTTTCAGCGGCACACGTGTTAGGTCACAAAACAAGTCTCGATATATTTTTAAAAATTAAAATCATATGAACTATCTTGTCTGACCACAATAGAATAAAACTAGAAATCAATAATAGAAAGGACATTGGAAACTGTACAAAAAGATGGGAATTAAACAACAAATGGGTGAAAGAAGAAATTTTAAAAGAAATTAAAAATTCCTTCCTGGAGACAAATGAAAATGAAACCACAACACACCACGACCTATGGGATGCAGCAAAGTTAAGAGGGAAGTTTATATGAATAAATTGCCTACATGAAAAAAGTAGAAAGACTTCAAATAAAAAACCTAATGTTACAACTCAAAGAACTAGAAAAACAAGAACAAATCAAATCCAAAATTAGTAAAAGGAGAGAAATAAGAAAGAGCAGAAATAAATGAATTAGGGATTAAAAAACTATATACAAAAGCAATGAAACAGAGTTGGTTTTTCAAAAAGATAAAATCTATAAACCTTTAGCTAGACTAACAAATAAATAAGAGAATAATTAAATAAATAAAATAAAAAATGAAATAGGAGACATGACAACTGATATCGCAGAAATACAAAAGATCGTAAGAGACTATCACAAACAACTATAAGTTACCAAACTGGAAAACCTGGAAGAAATGGATAAATTTGTGGGCATGTACAACTTACCAACGTTGAATCATGAAGAATTAGAAAACCTATTTAGACCACTATGAGTAATGAGATCAAAGCAGTAGTAAAAAATTTCCCAACAGAAAACCCCTGGACCAGACAGGTTCACTGCCAAATTCTACCAAACATTTAAAAAGAACTAAACCAGTTCTTCTCAGACTCTTCCAAAAATTGAAAAGGGAATACTTCCAAATTATTCTGTGAGGCCAGCATTACCCTCATACTGAAACCAGAAAAAGGCACAACAACAACAAAAACTACAGACCAACATCCCTGATGAACATATATGCAAAAATCCTAAACAAATCAAATCCAACAAAACTTTAAAAAGATTATTCACTATGACCAAGTGTGATTTATCCCAGGGATGCGAGGATGGTTCAACATATGCAAATCAATAAATGCAATACATCACATCAATAGAATGAGGGGAAAAAATTTTGATCATATCAATAGATGCAGAAAAAGTATTTGATAAAGTCCAACGCCCTTTATTACTAAAAAACTCAACAAATTGGGTATAGAAGGATTGCGCTTCAATACAGTAAAGGCCATATATGACAAAGTCACAGCTAATATCATACTGAAGGGACAAAAATTGAAAGCTTTTCCTCTAAGACCTGGAACAAGGACGCTCACTTTCTCCACTCCTTTTCAACATAGTGCTGGAAGTTCTAGCCAGTGCAGTAAGGCAGGAGAAAGCAATAAAGGGCATCCAAGTCAGAAAGGAGGAAGTCATACTATCCCTATTTACAGATGACATGATCATATACATAGAAAACCCTAAAGACTACACCAAAAAATTACTAGAACTAATAAATGAATTCAGTAAAGTGGCAAGATATAAAATCAGCACACAAAAATCAATAGTGTTCCTATATACCAATAACAAAACATCTGAAGAAGTCAAGAAATTAATCCCATTCAGAGTACTACCAAAAAAATGAAATACTTAGGTGTAAATTGAACTAAGGGGGCAAAAGACCTCTACAATGAAAATTATAAAACATTGGTGAAATAAATTGAAGAAGACACAAATAAATGGAAATATATCCCTTGTTCATGGTTGGAAGAACTAATATTATCAAAATGTCCATATTACTCAAAACAGTCTACAGATTCAATGCAATGTCTACCAAAATACCAATGACATTTTTCGCAGAAATAGAAAAAACAGTCTTAAAATTTACATTGAACTACAAAAGACCTTGTTTGGCCAAAGCACTCTTAAATAAAAAGAACACAAGTTGAAGGTATCACACTACTTGACTTCAAAATATACTGTAAAGCTATAGTAACCAAAACAGCATGGTATTGGTGTAAAAACAGACAAATTGACTAATGGAATGGAATAGAGAACCTAAAAGTAAACTCATACATCTGTAGCCAACTGGTTTTTGACAAAGGTGTCAAAAACATACACTGAGGAGATGATAACCTGTTCAATAAATCCTTTTGAGAAAACTGGATATCCACATGCAAAAGATTGAAACTAGACCCCTGTCTCTCACCACACACAAAGTTCAGCTCAACAGGGCCTAAAGACCTAAATTTAAAATCCAAAACTATGAAGCTACTAGAAAAAAATGATAGGAGAAACACTACATGAAATGGGCAGTGCTTTTTTGAACAAGACTGCAGTGGCACAGGCAATTAAAGCAAAGGTAAACAAATGGTACTACGTCAGACTAAAAAGCTTCTGTGCAGTAAAGGACAAAATCAACAAAGTGAAAAGGCAGGATGAGAGAAAGTGTTTGCAAACTACACATCAAACAAGGGGCTAATATCCAGAATATATAGGAAACTCAAACAACTCAATAGCGAAAAACCTCAAATTATCCAATTAAGAAATGCACAAAGGACTTGAACAGACATTTCTCAAAGGAAGACTTACAAATGGCCAACA